CCTCGTAAGTACATGTAAGTAAGTCCATAGAAACGTAGGTTCGTAAGCACACAAGTAAGTAAGTAAGTACGTAAATATGTAAGTAGGTACGTAATTATGTAAGTAAGTACGAAAGTTCGTAAGCACGTAAGTACATAAATAAGTAAGTCGTGAATACACAACAAATAGGTCTTCCGAGGTGTATTCGGGGGCGGGCCTGACGGACGGAGGGCCGTATTTTGGTGACCATTTACTAATAGGTTGGGATGAGGGGTGTGATTGGGGCATGTCAAAAATAAAAAAATAGGAGTAGGAGGTTCAACAGCTCCAAAGGGGAAATAGCTTGCGTGATCAAAAAGGAAGATTAAAGGGAATTTTTGAAAATCTGGTCATATTAAAAAAACCATAGACCTTTTTCTTTCCATTCTCTAAATAAGTGCAAAACAATGATGACATAAGAAAAAGATACAAATCTGTTTTTAAAAACCCACTGAATAGATATTTAAAGAGTAGAGCAAAAAAACTTATACGAATTAGGAAGTCTCTGGATCCATTATTTTCACTTGGTAGGAAAATTTATCATTCCTTGTTGTTTCTCATGTAGTCTACATAATATGTTTTTATTATGAAATGTTTGCTTTCATGAGTCGTCTCTCTTTTATTATCTTCTTTTTTCCTTCCCCTTTTGTTCTCCTCTACTCTTACTTCTGGGATATCGGTATTATTTATGTTTTCGAAATAACCCTAATATAAAGTAATGTATTTGCACTTTTCAATCCATTACTACCCTGACAGACCCACGAACGTTCCGAAACATTTTCAGCTTTCTGAAAAGCACTCATTGATTGTCTTTGAAGGAGTTTTAACACCTTCAACAGCTGAGATCATTCAGTACGCGAGTTTTGACTCCCCAGGTCAGGGTCGACCTAGATTTAGAGGGCAACAACGTCCCAGAAGAAAAGCCGAGATATTGGGTAAAAATTGTTCCCACACGGGAATTAAACTCAGGTCTTCTACGTGCGACGGCAAATTGCCTAGTAATTCAAATATAGACGCTTGTGAGAAGCATTCAGTGCAAGTCGCCATTATTCAGATACTCAAACACTAACATACTGACCAAAGTAGTACACTGATTTTAAGACGAGTAGCTATTATCAGGTGGGTAAATGAGAAAAAAGTGTGTAAAATGCCGGTGGTAAACAAAAAGTTGAACTTCCTTGTCTGACTGCCCACCACGCTTAGAGAACACTTCCAACATTTCGCTACCTCAGAATAACAAACTTCTATCTGCTCAATGCCAAGGTTAATGAAATTTGATGTCGAATTATTTTTCAGTTTCACATTTCAAGCTTTTTCGAAAGCTATTCTTTGAATATCTTGATAAGACTGAATATTTTTACGATTTTGATAGAGAAGGGTCAACCATTGGTCTTTTGACCTAATGGTTTTAGTAATTTAAAAAGGCCAAAATGTCGAATAGAGCTTTGTAATTCTTAGGTAATGATGTGCTTCTCAACATTTACTGGCTTTCAGATGGCTCTAGAGCCCGGGATGGCGCAGCAAATGTGTTGGAATCGCTTCGTTTTGCTTCCCGTTATAAAGTTTTCGTTCCGACGGTTCAGTCCACAGGGTACACCAGGCTTAACGGTAGAAATTGCCAAAAACACTTATTGTATCTAGAAATGGCACATTGGGAGGCTTTTTAAAAGTCTCTTTACTACTGTCCGAGAATCAATTTCTACAAATCTTGAAAGTATGCTCTTAAATGTGTTTTCAGCAAATTCAGAAAATACGTCTGTTGCTTTGAGGTAATAGTCCAATCTTTGATTGCGAATATCTCAGTATTTTGTCTTGGGCACAAGTGCAGCCTTCCTATACTGATCTGTCGTTCATTTTTAAAACCCTATCCGTACGCCCTGCGGTCATTTTGTACACCGGGGTTGTATTCTTTACATTTTAGAATACTTATATTACGAAGATATTTTTGAAACTTTCTTTTTCTCAAAAAATCATTTTGACAGACTGCTATGCAAAGCGTAGGGATCAGATTAACGAGTAAATTTCCTCTTTGCAAAGTGGTGGCACAGAGTTCCCGACGTCGTATGGATACGATAGTAAAACACGACGTATGGCGTATTCCTTTGAGCTTGGTGTCAAACGAAAGGAAACATTAATTGTTTTCTCATCAGACCAAAAACTCAAATTATGAAAGCAAGTGGCCTAAACCGTCAAGATTCATCACATGTGTTCATGGGGGAGGGGGGTATGAAACATAGCATTTTATAGGAAAACATTACTGTAGTTTCATTTTCAAAACAAACGGCATATGATATTACATTTTGACAGAAAATCATAAATACTCGACGGTGACTTCATAATCAACTAGGAAATCGTCCCAATTGTTTCCGAATTTTCATACATTTGACAGCCTCGAAGCTACCTGGAACGGGTTGTGGAATATAAACAGTTCGTTGTCTCGTCTGCAAGTACATGTAATTAAACTACACCCCCCCCCCCCCCTGCCGTACTCGGACGCCACATGACATGACAACCTCTTTGGCCTAAGAAGAAAACATGGGGCGGGGGCGGGGCGATTTCTTCGCACACACTTTGTGTTCTATTTTGGCTTCCCCCAAGACCGGCGTCTTTAGGCTCTTTGTCGTCACGTGCAGCAGACTTGAGTTTGATTCTCGTGTGGGGAATTTTTTTTATTTCTATCGAGTGTCTTGGTCTTTCTGTCAGGACGTTCCATTCCTCTCATGCCGGGTTGGCATTACTGGCGGGTTGAAGCCAACCTCCTAAATGATCTAAATTGTGTCTTTGGGGGCGTTAAAAACACCTACGTTTATTTTATTTTAACAAAGATCTACACTCAAATTCGTCTTCCCCATGGAGGTTGTTTATTTCCCACTCAAACCAAGGCTCAATGTCCTCCAGCACTCTCAAGTTTCATTTCCTTCGTGTGTTATACTTTGTTTCATCTTTTCTTCTTCTTGCTGTTTTCTTTTCTCTTCCAAAGAACATTTTCCCATTTTCGCTCTGTGTCCGGTATCTCAGACAACCTCTCTTCGCCTGATTACATATGGAGTGGACACAGGAGAAGCGAGAGGTATCGTGCGCCAGAGCTAAGTACGCTCAACTCGGCAAACAGCCTCTGGTCCTGAACGTAAGGCCCGGCGAGCGCAGGGAAAATTTCCACTCGTCGCACGGTTGCGAAGTGTGACGTCACTAAGTGGTGAAGAGGGGCGAACGGGCGAAAATTGCCTCATTTGCATGCTCGCAGCCGTCCGACGAGTGGAAATTTTCATTGCGTGCCCGTTGCCTCAGCTCAGAAGACAACAAAGGGAAATCACTCTGTGGACAAACTATAGAGGCAAGTCACGTCCAAGACTGGCCTTCGAAAAGTTCACTTTTCACTGCCTTATTTTTGGTTGTGTTTTTTTTTCTCAGCTCGGTGATCTCATGGTTTTTTGGGTTTTTTAAAAATAGATAAGAACTCCCAGATCTTCTAGCACAGAAAGCATCATATATGCCTAGTTTACCCAAAAAGTTTGTTTGGCGATCAGTGTCAAATTCTAAGCAAACTGTTAAATATTTTTTGGGCTCATTCTTTTTTAACCGAGGGCAATCAGCTCCGTAAACAAGTATGATACTAGCTGAGTTAACGGTGCGTCCGGAAAATTTATCGTCCGTTGGGCTTATAACAGTTTTTTACACGTACGGAGCTTACTTTGTCGCTGAAATTGGTCTACATATATAATGCACCATTTCATATTACAGAATGAAGGAGAAATAGATACAACTCTTTTTCTTCTCCTCGCCAACATCCAATTAAACATTTTTTCACCCCCACCCCCCACCCTGCGAAAAAACAAAACAAAATAACCACACCAACAAAAAACAACAACCAAAAACCCAGCAACAAAACAAGAGCAAACCAAAACAAATAAAAAAGACATACATTAAAAAATGACCCAAGACACCGCCCCCCCCCCCAAAAAAAAAAAGTTTTAAACCACACTGAACAGATGTGACATACCTTTGCAGTTTTCCCTCCTTGGATCCCTACTGCAGAAGAAGTGCTGGAAGCTAGGATCATAGAGCTGACAAAGATCTCCCCTGTAACACACGAAAAAAGAAAAGAAAAACATAAATCATGAGATATACTATGTTATTTTTGTTACATCACTGCAAAGTACTGCTGAAATCAGCATTAGGCAAAAGAAAACGGAAAGACAAAAATAGAATTTTGATAAAACTATTGGGTAAAAGTACATTTAGCCCCCCCCCCCCCCCCCC